ACGGTCCCTGCACCCCAGGACCCCAGTGTGTTGGAGGAGGCTGGGTGACGTCATCTCCCTGCTGAAAGAGCCAGCACAGGGCGGCTGAGACCAAAGCTGATGGACAGGTGAGATCTTTCGAAAAGCTCTTTGATCTCTCGTGTGAATTTCATCTGACACAGCACCCCCGTACCCGCTCCCGCCATGTTCCTCTTTCCTTACTGCTGGAGGGCAGGACTGGCTCTGCCAGAGCCCCCAGCAGAGCCCCCTCCTTTCAGTGACACCCTCAGCCTGCACCAACCAGAGCTCATGGAAGGGACCTGCCAAAAGTCTTCCTGAAACCAGAGGAGAGGCAGTTTCAGGGTGTTCTGTGAAGCAAATGTCCAGTGCCAGCTCCATCACCCACTTCCTCCTCCTGCCATTTGCGGACACGTCGGAGCTGCAGCTCTTGCATGACTGACTCTTCCTGGGCATCTACCTGACTGTGCTCCTGGGCAATGAACTCATCATCACCACCACAGCCTGCAACCAGTGCCTCCACACCCCCTGTGCTTCCTCCTCGACCGACCCCTGCTGGACCTGTGCTCCATGTCCACCACTGTCACTAAACCCATTGCCAATTCCCTCTGGAACACCAGGGCCACCTTCTTCCTGGGACCTGCTGCCCAGGTCTTTTTCTTTCCCTCCTCAAACACAGACGAGTTTTATTTCCTCACCATCACGCCCTGCAGCCCCTATGTGTCCATCTGCCAACCCCTGTGTGACGGGACCCTCCTGGGCAGCACAGCTTGTGTCCACAATGGCAGCAGCTGCCTGGGCCAGAGGGTTTCCCAGTTCTCGGCTGCACACTGTGGGACTTTGTCACTTCCCTCTGCTAAGGCAATACCCAAAGGGAAAAAGCTGGGGGGAGCAGGGTGGGTTCCTGTCCCCTCTCTGCCTGTTCTGGGACAGTTCTGCCACTGTCCAGAAGCTCTGGGAGAGCTTGGGAGCCCTTCTGGGAGGCCGTGTATGAGGAGATCGCTTACAGCTCAGCATGGAGGAAGCAGGCAAGGTTCAGTTGCCCATGTTCAGTGGGTCCCCTCCATGGGGCACATCTGCCAGGCTGTGCTTACTCCCCCCTTACTCCCCCACCCATGGCTGACCCCCTGTGCTGCGATCTGCAGGGAGAGCAGCAAGGTCCTGCACCCAAGAGAGGAGCTTCATCTCACCAGTTCTTGCTGTCCAAGCCAGGGACAGCCCCTCTCTGTGTGCTCCTGCATGCTGCGTGACACCTCAGGGTTGAGGGAAGGTCCTGTCCCAGGGCAGCTTGGGAGACCCTTTGAGACAGGGCTTGTCCCAGGGGAGCAGGGTGAGTCCTGTGCCCTCCTCCCACTCAGCCTTTTCTCTGTGGGTCCCCCCAGCAGCGAGCACAAGCTTGGTCACCAGAGCACATCCCGTAACATCTCCAGGTCCCTGACTTCTAAGATTCTACGATTCTTTCAGACTGCAATTCGTGATTCTCTCTCCTTAACTGTTGGTGTTCTGGCGGACTTGTCTGTGGTATTTAACCCATGGCAAGGGTCATGCAGAGCATCTGCGTTTCTGGCTACACCCTTCAGAGAAGCCCTGTGTGCACTGCAAAGGGGAGTGTTGAGATGGGCTGTGTCCTTGGGGAAAGCCCTGTTCCTGCGGGACACACAGCCCTGGGAGACAGCCTGTAGGGAAGGGCTGTGCGGCCTTCACAGGGCAGTGTTTAGCTCCAGTCAAGTGACATGAGGCTCTCAGAGCTCTGTGCCTTGCTCACGCTGCTCCTCTCCCTTCATCCTCACCTTGCTGGCTTCTGGCTGAGGCACAGACATGGAACGAAGACAGCCAGTCATCCTCAGCCATGCACACCCCCTCGCACTGCAGCTGAAGACAAGAGACCAGTTCTTGGGGAGTGTTTTTTATTAGACTCATATTGGAAGTAGTAGAGGTGCCATGTAGAGGGAATGTCGGAGGCCAAAAGAGGGAGCAGGTATTCCAACACTGAACACAAGAGGTTGTACAAAATGTCAGTGTTCAAATGTCTCCTTCATCATCTAGAAAAGAAGAGGCTACTTTATAGTAAAACGTGGCTCACTCTTGCTCTGTGGGAAGGCATATTGACCCTTGCAGGAATACGAATGACTTGCCAGGGTATAAAAAAAAAAAAAAATAAATCCAGCTATTTCTAGAACCGCTCACTCTAATTTTATTTATAGTGGAAATTCCCAAATTACTCACTTCCAGGGTAACTGCAAGACATACCTCCTCTCTGGATTTCAAAGAGAAGTCCAGTAAGGACAAGGCCTGCTGCATGCAGTATGTTTTGGAATAGGGTTTTGGTTTTCCTCTACTTTTTCTTATGGAAGCTGCTGCTCTTTAGCAACAGCCCTGCTGAATTCCTCACCCTAGGGGCTGGTGGTGAAAACACAAACCTAACTGGAGATCCTCCAGCTCTCTGGTTCTACTACAGTGCTCAGAAAGAACCAAAAGACATGGTCTACAGCAGCAAGAATAAGAAAAAACTGATAACTTAATCCCTCTGGGTAGCCTAAGTAAGTGTATAGCAGCATCCTTTAACAGCCTGGTACAAGACCTCTCACTGGGGAAGATAACAGCTCTCTACGCGCTAGCTGTTGGCTCAGCAGAGGAATTCCAGTAAAGCACGTTTTGTCAGTCTGGGGGCATCAGTATGATGTAGCTTTTATTTTCTTCACGCTCAAAAGTCCAGTCTGTGAACCTGTGCCACAGGCTGCATGCAGCTTCATAGCTAGAAGACATGTACTTTCCATTTGGAACATCTGGATTTCTCCTTTAGAATTAAAAAACAAGTCATCTCATTTGCTGGAGAAAGCGTTGTGTGTGGCTATTTTCTGAAAGACTGCAAAGCAGCTCTAAGCAAAACACCAGTTGTCTGTTACAGGAGTTAACCCCGCAAGCCGTGTGCACTCCAAAGGGTCCAAAGGAAGGCTATCTGCTTTATCCTAGCCCAGTTTCAGCATAAAGTAGTAATGCAATATTTAATGAAAATGGTAACTGCAGTTACCTGAGCAAAACTGGCTTTTTGAGACACCAGCTCCCTCTGCCTTACAGGATTCAAGCTCCTTGCTTAGCTTATCTCATGGGAAGTATCCTAAAGTTCAGTGTACAAGTACAGGACTTGAGTGAGGATTTAGTTTGTGTTCTAAGTCTGTGGTGAGATAACAGGATTTAGTGGCCCTGCTAAACATGAGGGAATAATTTCACACCATCCTTCTACTTATCAGTTAGAGGCAGTGCCTCCCAAACATCTGCTAGTTTTGGATACTCCTTGTCTGCCCGTCCTGTTTTGCTTGCAATAAATTTTGCAGGAAGGTCACAGCATTCTAAATCTTTGCCAGCTATAAGAAGAATTGCAGATATGGCTGGTTTCAGCTAGTTGTGTGATTACTGGGGCACCCAACTGTGCCAAAGGTGAAAAGTCCAATGAGCTTCCTAACGGTTCCACCGACACAGCAGTGCGCTCTCACTTTGGACATAAAACTGCACGTGCGTTCTGCTTTCCTGGTGAGCACTTCCAGCTGTCCTGGGGCACGGCCCACAGAGCGCAGACTTCCAGCCTCCGCTCAAACAGCCAAGATGCCAGGACAGTAAGCTGTTGCTAGCCATCGCGCACACACAATGTGAGCTCCACAGCAGTGCCACCAGCACGGTAATCCGCCCTTGTTTTGGCACTTGAAACTGCATGTGCATTCTACTTTGGTGCGCACTTTTGGCTGCCCTGGAGCATGGCTTACACCTTCTCTAAAGAAAAGAACCCACCCCCAAAAAAAGAAAAAGATACGGCGTACAAACAGCCCCCATCCCCAGCCCACGGTATTGTGGTGTTCCATGCCACAGCACATCATGCCCACTACCTAAAGTCGGGGGAGCTATCCAGAAGGCCCAGAAGGAGGAACGGGTGTGTGGATGAACTTCCCAAGAAAGTTGCTGCTCCAGTCTTTGGTGAGCAGCTTCCCAGCTGGAGTGGAAGAGATGATTTTACTCCAACTCCTGTGATAAGGAATACTAATCCCTTTCTACAAGATATAAGATGTTATGATCAACATTAGAGGGGCCCTGCCTCCAGCCACGTAGAGGAGTGGGACAATCAGGTTTGCTGAACTGTGTGGATCAGATGACCTGGCACATCAGTCCCACAGAAGTATAAGGCTTTAGTAAATACCAGTGCACAGTGCACCCTGATGCCAGCAAACTATTAAGGGGTGGAACCCATTTGTATTGCTGGAGTGACAGGAGGGCAGATACTGAAGTAGCAGGAGATGAAAACTGACATGTCTTAGAGGACAACATCACAAGTGGAAAAAGGAAAACAAATGTAAAGGAGTGTCGTGGTTTAACCCCAGCCAGACAACTTGTTCACCCACTCCCCCCCACTTCTTGCCCTCTCCCTACTCCTGGAGGGACGGAGAGGAGAATCAGAAAGAATGCAACTCCCACGGGTTGAGATAAGAACAGTTTAGTAACTAATGTATAACACAAATCACTACTGCTACCACCAATAATAATAATGATAAAGGAAATAACAAGGGAAAAGAATACAACACCTCATCACCAGGCGACCGATAACTCGCTTCCCCCAGCCCAGCCAAGCACCAACCCATACCTCCTCCAACCCTGCAGTCCCCTTTGCCCTTCTGGGTAACTCCCAGTTACCTCCTGGACATGACGTGCTGCGGTATGGAATACCTCTTTGGTCAGTTTGGGTCAGGTGTCCTGTCTCTGCTTCCTCCCGGCTTCCCTCCTCCCTGGCAGAGCATGAGGCCCACAGAGTCCTTGGCCAAACCAAAACGTCATTGTTTTTCAGCTCTGTTCCCAGCCCAAAAGTCAAAACACAGCACTGCACCAGCTACCAAGAAAGAGAAAAATGACTGCTACTGCTAAACCCAGGACAAGGAGGAAAGACAGACGTGGCCTGTCATGACCTTGGAGCCCTTTGCAGAGGAAAGCAGGCAGTGTACGGCTGCTGAAAACATCCAGTCATCAGCATCCTCAGAACATCCTTGGGCTTCTAGTTCCTCAGGCTGTGGATGAGGGGGTTCACTGCTGGAGGCACCACGGAGTACAGCACTGACACCACCAGATCTAGGGATGGGGAGGAGTTGGAGGGGTGCTTCAGGTAGGCAAATGTGCCGTTTCTGACAAAGAGGGAGACCCTGGCCAGCTGAGGGAGGCACATGGAAAAGGCTTTGTGGCATCCCTGCTCAGAGGGGAATCTCAGCATAGCCCTGAAGATCTGCACATAGTACCCCACAGCAAAAACAAAACACCCACGTGCTATAGAGGTACCAACCACAAGAAGGCCGGCTTTTCTGAGATACGAGTCTGAGCAGGAGAGCTTGAGGATCTGGGAGAATTCACAGAAGAACTGCTCCACAGCACTGCCATGGCAGAAAGGTAAAGAAAAGGTATTAGCTCTTTGCAGCCCAGCATAGAGAAACCCACTGCCCCATGCAGCTGCTGCTATGTGGACACAAGCTCTGCTGCCCTGAAGGGTCCTGTAGTGCAGGGATTTGCAGATGGCCACGTAGTGGTCATAGGACATGACACTGAGAAGAGAAAATTCTGCTGAAATAAAAAAGACAAACAGAAAGACCTGTGCAGCACATCCCAGGTAGAAGATGGCCCTGGTGTTCTGGAGGGAATTGGCCATGGATTTAGGGACAATGGTAGAGGTGGAGCTCGGGTCCCTTCCAATCCCTAACATACTCTAACATACTATACTGTGATACTGTGGAAGAGAGCAGGCCAGAATGACAGAGAAAGAAGGAAGAGAGAGCAGGGCAGCACTGGAGGACAAAACCAACTGCTGGGCATCAGGACAAGAGAGGGGAAAGAAAAATTCCAGATCAAGAGTGAAAGAAGGCACAGCCAGCTGGACAGAGAGGCTTAGCAAGAAAGGATGGAACAGGGAATGGGATAGAGAGAAAGACAGAAAAAAGGGAAAGAAGGACATGAGAGGAAAAAAAGGGTAGGCATCTGCACAGAGATGGAGAAAGAAGCAGCACGGAAAGAGGAAGAGAGGCAAACAGAGGGAGAGGGAGCAGGGCAGAGAAGGAAGGACTACGGGATTGACAGAGATCACCAAAAGACGTGGTGGGTAGAGGAAAGGTGAGTAGGTAAAAAAGAAATAGGGGCAGGGAGAGCTTGCTAGCAACACCAAGCTGTGTGGTTCGGTCGATACGCTCGAGGGAAGGAATGCCATCCAGAGGGACCTTGACACGCCTGAGAGCTGGCCAATGCCAGCCTCATCAAGTTCAACCAAGCCAAATGCAAGCTCCTATACCTGGGGCGGAGCAATCCCAAGCACAGCTACAGGTTGGGCAGAGAAGAGATTCAGAGCAGCCCTGCGGGGAAGGACCAGGCAGTGCTGGTCGATGAGAAAGTGAACATGAGCCGGCTTCAGTGTGCGCTTCCAGCCCAGAAAGCAACCGTATCCTGGGCTGCATCAAAAGGAGTGTGACCAGCAGGTCCACAGAGCTGACCCTGCCCCTCTACTCAGCTCTTCTGAGACCCCCCTTGCAGCACTGTGTGCAGTTCTGGTGTCCTCAACATAAGGACATGGAGCTGTTGGAACAAGTCCAGTGGAGGCCACGAGGATGATCAGGGGCTGGAGCATCTCCCATATGGAGAAACAGTGAGAACATTGGGGCTGTTCAGCTTGGAGAAGAGAAGGCTGCGGGGAGATCTCAGAGCAGCTTCCAGCCTCTGCAGAGAGACTACAAGGATGATATGCTTCATCCCTGGCAGTGTTCAAGGCCAGGTTGGATGAGGCCTTGGGTAATATGGTTTAGAGCGAGGTGTCCCTGCCCATGGCAGGAGGGTTGGAGCCTGATGATCTTAAGGTCCTTTCCAACCCTAACTATTCTGTGATTCTATGGAGAGCAGCTCTTCATCAGGGACTGGAGTGACAGGACAAGGGGTGACGGGTTCAAACTGAAACAGGGGAAGTTTAGCTTAGATATAAGGCAGAAGCTCTTCCCTGTGAGGGTGCTGAGGCGCTGGCACAGGGCACCAAAGGAACTTGTGAATGCTCCATCCCTGGCGGTGTTCAAGGCCAGCCTGGACAGAGCCTTGGGTGACATGGTTTAATGTGAGGTCCTCCTGACCAAGGCAGGGGGGTTTGGACCTGGATGATCTTAAGGTCCTTTCCAACCCTCACTATTCTATGATTTGAAAACCAGAGCAACAAACAAGAATAACAACTGAGAGAAAGAGAAGTGCAGGAGAAACGAGCAGCTCAGAGGGATGCAGCAAGAACGAGAAGTAGCAGAAGCCCTGCAGAGCGATGGAGGAAGGGTCTGGGAGCAGCAGACACAGCCAGGGAGAGGAGAAGCAGGCAGGGAGAAAGACAGGGCCAGTGGGATACAGAATGAGCTGCAACAAGCAGAAGGGGCTGGTAGAGTGGGAGAGAAAGAAGGACTTGAAGAACAGAGGGACGTGGAGGACAGCACAGTAATAGAAGAGAGGTATGGGGAAGCGAAACAAATGACAGCAAGGGAAAAGGGAGCGGGCAGCTTGGAGAGATGAGAGGCAGATACGGCCCCAAGGGCTGGGCACTCACCACAGCTCCCGCTCTCCGTCCTGCCGGGGAAACTCTTCAGCCCAGGCCCTTCTTCCTCTGCCTCTCTGTGCTCTCCCTTTCCCCCTGGGCAGGCCCAGGGCCAGCTGCAGGGCACAGGCCGGGCTGGGGCAGCTCGGGGGGCTCTGGCAGGCGGGGTGCCCGGTGCCTGTGCCCACAGCGGGGCTGTCTCCATCTCCCCAGGGGCTCGCTCGCCTCAGCGCTGGCCCCGGCCCCGGCCCTCCCCTGAGCTGGGCCGCAGCCCCAGCAGAAGCTGCAACACCCAACACCAACATGGCCGCCGGCAGCCCCTGCCCTAGCACTACAGCTCCCAGCATGCCCTGGGGCGCTCCTCCTGCTGCCAGGCCCTGCTGGGCCACCGTCCCCTGGGCATAGGCCCGAGGGAGCAGGGGGAGCGGGTGGGAGGGGCCGCGGGGAGTGAGCACGGGGAGGAGCAGGGCAGGAGCGAGCCGGAGAGGCTGAGGGGCAGCAGCAGTGTGGGTCGGGGGGAGGAGGAGGAGAGGGAGAGAGCAGCGACGGCCTCCAAAGGGCGGGGAGCAGGATGGAGCCCAGAGGGAAGCACGGCCTGGCGAGGAGGGAATGCAGGGGGAGCGGGGGAGGCAGGCTGCAAGACAGAGAGGGAAAGCAAGGCTTGAAAGAAGAGAAGGGAGTGGGAGAGAGACATTTGGAGAAGGGGGAAATAGCAACAGGCTCCACAACACACAGGGGGGAATTAGAAACTAAAGGCAGGGAGTCAGGCAGGGGAAGAGAGGAACAGCGAGGGGCACTGCTGGGTGTGGGAGGACTCTGGCCCAGAGCTGGTGACTGCCGGAGGACTGTGTCCTGAAGTTTGGAGACCCCCACATCCGTGGTCATTGCTGCCTTGGGGAAGAGCCATGGTAAGACACCAGCCACCCGGAAGGACGAGTGTTTCCTCAAGGGTGTGTGGCTTTTTGGTATTGCTTTTGAGGGAGAAACTGTCAAAGAGGCTTCTGTTCTTGTTTAGGGATGTTTTGTAAAGACCTTGACTGACTATTGTGTGACTTGAAACGTTGCTGAAAAACGGTGGAGGTTTGTCTGCCTGTTCTGGATGCTTTGGGTTTGAACATCTGCTGGTGGCAGTGACTTGACACAGTCAGCTACCGTGTCAAGGCACAGCATGTGCTGAGGGCGAGACTCATCCTACACGACAGTGGGTGTGAATTCCTATTTCAGACAGGCTTCTTGATCTTGTCGAATTTTGGGGGCCAAATTCTTCTCAGATCTGATTTGTTCATCCTTGATTTTGCCCCTCTGCGTGGCTGGCAAAGAGCTCGTGGGAGGAGCAGGAGGAGGGTCAGCGGTGCCGTTTCTACATTGGTTGCTTGTGCGGGACTTGCCAGGGTTATCTTCTGCCCGTGGCTTCTTTGCAGGAACCTCTTTTTAAGAGGTGTCTGGTCTGTGAGGGGTAGTGGGCTCAGCGGGAGCCCTTGTGCTGCTCGTTAGTGCCTCAGGGGTTTCCGTGTCACTTTTTGTTTGCTGTGCTGGCGTTAAAAAGCGTATTGTTGCTCCTTGGATTCCTGGCATTAAATGAAGTCTCTGGGATTTCTGCCCAGGAGTGAGGTGTCCAGAAAAGGACTGTCCTTGTACGCTGCTGTCAGCCTTCACTTCAGAGAAGTGTGTGGTGGTGGTGTATTTTAATGGGAATGTAACTCAAAGGCAACTTAAACCGACCACCTTAGTCCTTGTTGCTGATATGCCTGGGGGATGATTCTCCTCAGGTTGTCAACAGCATGTTCTGCTGTGCTTTACCTATTTGAAATACTCTGTCACCAGAAATGTCTTCCGTAGTACCTCCATAGAACAAGAACCTTACGCCCTGACCCTTGGGGCAGCTTCAAGGTGGCAGCTAAATGTCAGTAGCTGCAGTGGTAGCAGTGTGTGTGTGTGTGAGTGTGTGAAGATCACCTGAGCCTCCACATTCATTTAGCGTGTCCCAGCTTGGTGTGGGTAGGGGTGCATGAAGTCAGAATGTTGTAGGTGGTGTAACTGGCCAGGCAGTGTCTCTAAAGCAACAGGAAATGAGCCCTTCTAGAGGCATGCCTACGGATGTCAAGGTGGGGGGCTGTCGCCTTTCCTTCCTTGGCCTGAGCACAGAGAGCTAAGAGGTGTTTTCATCTGGGGGAGGGAAGCCCATCCAAGAGCCATCATCAGCCTCCAGGCTTGTGGTCCTTGGTGTACTTAGGACAGTTTTACTGGGGTGGTGTTAGTCCTTTGGCTCCCAGGTTTTCCCTTTAAGGTTTGCTCTCTGCTTGATTTGCCTTTATAGTGTTTGGTAAACGTTCTCCATTCAAAGCCCTCAGACTCTGTACTGCGTGTTTCTTTCTCTGAAACCCCATCAACAGCTTTGGGAACAGAGGAAATGGGGACCCTTTAGGGTAGAGAAGAACATTTGATATGAGAAACACTTCTGTGCTAAGCATCTTATAAGGATAAAAGGACCTGCTTTAACTTCATTTTGTTGTCCTCCTTCAAGGATTGTTACTTCTACCACAGAAGAAGAGATGACTTTGATTTCCGTGTCTGACTAAAAGAACTAATGTGAACATGCAGAAAACTGATGCGAAGAGCCATGTTTTGTCATTACGGGCTACCATGTCTGACTAAGGGAGCTTCCCCTGTATGTGGTCTAGTAGAAGGTGTCCCTGCCCATGGCAGGGAGCTGGAACTGGATGAGCTTTAAAGTCCCTTCCAACCCAAGCCTTTCATAATTCCACCATTTAATTTCATTCCATTCCTGCATTTAAATTAATTTCATTTTGCTTTCTCCCTTGCTTTCTCCCCTTCCTTCCCCCCTTACCATTTCATATAGTTTCCTTCTTCGATATTGTTTCCTTCATTCTTTTTCTGGAGCTGCTGTAGAGCCTCCTTGCCTCACCCTGGCGGCCCCATAGGTCTTCTTGACAGACAGTCTCGGGTCTGGGTGTCATTCTTGTTGCCGAGAGTTTTCTCTCATTTTTGAGCTGCATCGTCTGCACTGTTCTGTCTAGTGCCAGGGTCTGTGGCTCAGAACTGCTCTGCCCGGAGGCTTAGAGTCAGAGTAGGTGGGAGAGTGAAAGGAGTCTGTG